CAAAGACAAGGTATGAATTCTGATTTAGTATGTTATTATTTACTGTCTAATTTTTGCGTTGTCACCATAATTATTGTGCTCTCCTTGATAATCGATATGAGCTCTTGCAAAAGTAAGTATTTGTATAATTATTAAAAATAACAAAAAAAGATTAATTAAAAAATTATTTTTCATGATAAAAAGAATTAAACGATAAAAATAAAAAATTATTATAATAAAAAAAAATTAAAATAAAAAATTTAACGACGAATCATTATTAAACTTCATTGTCCAATCTACGATTGCCATGTGGAATGACAGATCACCAAATTTTCAAACCGGTTTAAATTGGTGCATTAAACCAACGCGTTTTTCTTTGACGCGTTTTTTTTAATTTTAATATTCTCAAGAAAAAAAAGTATGAATAATTACATTTACTTTGATGATGAAAACTACGATCAGGAAGGTGAGTATGGTGAATATAATGGAGAAGGAAGTAGGAAAACAGAAGACGAAAGAATTTTACAACCGTTTCAAGAACCTAATGAAGAAGAAAAACAAGGAACAAAAGAGAACAAAAGCGTTAAAAGAGCAAGAACTTATTCTGAAACTTGGCATTATTTTAACACCCAAAATCCACAACATCCTACAAAAGTTATTTGTCAAAAATGCAATCAAATGTATTCAAAATCAACTGGAATAAGTATTTTGAAATTCCATTTGAAAAGGGTACATGGAATAAAAATCAACAATGTAAAGAAATTACAAACCGTTGATCCTTTGCCTAAAGATGAAAAATTAGCTCGAGATCAAGCATTGGTGGATTGGATTATAGCAGATTCGCAACCATTTTCCGTTGTCACCAACATTCACTTTATCAATTTGATAAAAACTTTGGATCAAAGATATCATCTTCCTGAAAAATCATCATTAAAAGAAATAGTTGCGGAACGTTTTGACGAAATGAGAAAAAATGTTAGGTTAGAGATCGATAAAATCCCAGGAAAAATATCATTAACATCCGATATGTGGACATCAGCACTTACCGATAATTATTTTCTTGAACTCACCATTCATTTCATTAATAAGGAGTGGCAACATCGGCATTTCCTTTTGGATATCATCTCATTTAACGGTCGTCATGCTGCCATTAATATTACCGATGCCATCGTATCTATTTTAACTGAATTTAATATTAAAGAGAAAGCATTAGCATTGACAACGGATAATGAAGATACAATGTTAACAGTTGGTCGTTTAGTTTTTAAACAACTAGAATCTGATATAACAAATCCAGTATTTAATCATTATCGTTGTGCCGCTCACATCCTTAATTTGGCAGCCCAGCAAGGACTTGAATTAATTGATGATGCTATTGTAAAAGTACGACGACTAATGATAAAAATTAAGCAATCGGAAATACTTAGTGATGAATTGAGAAATTTGTGTCATTTTGCAAATATTAATTATCAAAGTCCAGAATTGGATGTAAAGACAAGTTGGAATTCGACGTATAATATGTTAAAGAAAGTGGAAATCATGTGGAGTGGAATTCAGACGTTGGCCGTGAATAGTCAAGAAGTACGAAAACTAATGCCCACGGAAATTGATTGGAAAACAATTAAGGTCTGTTAATATATGATATAGAAAGATCGGCAAAAAAACTATATGGTAAAGGTTGATTCATGCATTTGAGGTAATTAATTTATGATCAATTTAATTGAGAAAATCTGATAATTCTGTCATGCTTTAATTTGACTTCTATTATTTTGTAGATTGTACGGTGGATGAATACTAGTCTCGAACTCGAAAAATAGAATTTACAAATGCTTACAATCATTTTATTTACTAATTTTTTTTAAATTATACAATTTAACAAAAAAGGAAACATTGTTTGTCTTAGAACCATTAGAAAAAGCCACCATCTACCTTTCGACTTCACAATATCCAACAATTGCCGATGTTCGGTTTGTATTTCATGGTATAACGGAGCATTTAGATTATATTATTGAAAAGGATGAATTTACACAGAATGAATTAACAGCTTCAATAAATCAAAAAGTTGGCGAATATTGGGCTTATGTTGATCAACAAATCTTAGTGTCGACGGTACTTGATCCCCGAATTAAGCTTTCCCTTTTTGAAACTGGAATACTAGCAGCCCAAGCAATTTCAGCAGTAACCTCTTTATTGACCAATTATCATCATGTACCATTGAAAATCATGAGACCGAAGTAGAAGATGAAAATCTACGTCAGCACTTGAAAAAACAGTGTATAAAACCAGAAGTTTCGGATGAATTGGACAGGTACTTAGCATTGCAAATCGATGAAAATGTGAACCCGCTTATTTGGTGGCGGACACATGAACCCGAATTTCCTGTTTTGGCACAAATGTCACGCGATTACTTATCTATCCAAGCGACAAGTGTGGCATACGAAGAGATTTTTTCTGTAGCAGGTAATACTATCACCAAAACAAGAGATCATGTCAATCCAGAAACAGCTAGGGCGACTTTGTGTGCAGAGTCATGGATTAAAAATGGGATATATGTGTAATCTCGTAATAAAATTTTTTCACGCAAATTATGAGATCGTCACAGCTCATGTGGTCGGCTTTAGCTGTAAATCAACACCTTCGTGTAACACGCAATCGTCATTCGCGTTTCCTTTACGCCATCTTTTTATCTTTTTTTTTGGTATAATAAATATACAGCACCTTTGAATTTGAATCAAAAGTTCCTTTAGTATTCGATTTATTTGATTTCAAGTTCATCTTTTAACAAATTTTACAACCGTTTACACTCTAAACACAAAAACGAATCAGATGGCATTTTCAACTTCATTACTAGCTTATATGGGTTAATATATTTTTGCTGGCGATAATTTTATAAACTGTTCTATTTAATTCTATCCAACACATTTTGTGTGATTAGTACACTCCCTGGCCAAAAGTTTAGGACCACCCGATAAATTTAAAAAAAACTTAATTTTTTTATTAAATTACATTTT